AAAGCTGGCCGATTTGCAGTCTCACGTTAAAATTATGCAGTTTCCTGTACAGTCGCCCGGCGGGGTTTTCAAAACTGTAAATAATCCGGATAGAACTGCGACTGTATAACCATTCTCTAAATTGCCGTTTTACAGTTCCTGTATTTTGTTAACTACAGTGGTAAAACGGTAAAAACTTCGCATGATTATCATATCCAGAAATGAACCCGGAGGCATGAGTTTGCATTGGACGACTGTGATGACTTGGAATTCACTTGTGATATCCTTGACCACCTTCCCACCCTATCGTGTCAATAGTAGGCCTCCATTCCAGAATAGTAAGGCTGCAGATGCTCGAATTTGTAGGGACTGACTATTGCGGTCTCAAAGTCAATTTACAGAATGGGGAGCAAAGCTCACCCGCGCTTTAGTAGTAGTTGGACCAGGTCGTTATACTGTAGTTATATGAACGATGCGGTTCAGAATGACGACTGTTCTAAGCAATGGGTTGATGGAAGTAAGGAAAAGCGAAGTAAAGGAAAATTGGTCATTCACACCTGAAAACTTGTGTCACTGGTCAGTAAAGGTCGTGCTTTGGTTGGGCTGCCGATGCACGTGACGAGTTTAGTGCAGTGTGAGCCATTACGAGCGCGTTTGAAGGATGCATTTGCTCAAAGGAAAGTGATTGTTGCTTTTTGTCAACGACCAAACCGATCCACAATCGATCTGATTGGTTGAATTTCATTGAGAGGGTTTTGATTGGCTAATAAATTTGAGCTCATCAGAGGTAGCCAATCAAATCGATTTAAATTCCAACGAGAAACCACGCCACAACACGAAATTTCACACGAAAGCACAATATATGGGGGTAAGACCTAGTGTCACGGGGATTCCGGATGCCATTATCCGTAAGAGGTGGAGGATTCCGGATACTCTCCGCTCCATCCCACCACCCGTATCCGGATACTCAAAATTGCCGCGCAAGATTTGGAGGGGACGGTAGTGATTGGCTCGTTGTGGTTGCCATCGAGAGAGCATCCTCATTTCCCATTTCGCTCGCCAAAGTCTCCGCAACATGTTCGAAGCCCGCTTGTCCCAAGGCAAGATCGTCAAGCTCATCATTGAAGCCATGAAGGAGTTGATCTCTGAAGGTAACATTGACTGCACCAAGTCGGGGTTGGCGTTGCAGTCGATGGACGGCTCGCATGTGTCGCTGGTGTCGCTCTTGTTGCGCGCCGAAGGGTTTGAACACTACCGCTGCGACCGCAACATCTCGTTGGGCATTCAAACGGCGTCGTTGTCCAAAATTCTCAAGTGTTCCGGCAACGACGACGCACTCTCGCTGTCTGCGGAAGACGAAGGCGACGTCCTCAACATTACGTTTGAAGCGTCGTCCGGCGATCGCATCTCGGACTTTGGCCTCAAGCTGATGGACATTGACAGCGAACACTTGGGCATTCCGTCCACGGAGTACGTGGCCACGGTGCGCATGCCTGCGTCTGAATTCCAACGCATTTGCCGCGACTTGCACACGATGGGCGACACGTGCACCATCAGCGTGAGCAAGGAAGGCGTCAAGTTCAGCGTGTCGGGTGATTTGGGCAACGGCAACATCACGTTGAAGAACAACGCGGCCGCCGAGAAAGAAGAAGACCGCGTGATCATCCACATGGAAGAACCCGTGGAACTGACGTTTGCGTTGCGATACCTCAACATGTTCACCAAGGCCACGCCGTTGAGCGCGACCGTGACGCTGTCCATGTCCCCTGGTGTGCCCGTCGTGATCGAATATGCGATTGGCGAAATGGGGTACATCCGATACTACTTGGCGCCCAAGGTCGAAGAAGACGCGAACTAAGAGCATCGACGACGTCCGCGCATATTTAGGAAAAACAAAGCATTTTCGTGTCGATAATTGATTGGTCCAATGAAACAACGTAGGTTCAACGTTCGTTCGAATAAGTGGGGACACCTTGTCACAGATGCCTCTGATCATCGTCGCACATTTATAGTACTAGTAGATAGCACATGGATACAATACAGTACCGTGCTTGGACATCTACTGCATCGACGTCACTACAGTGTACTGTATCGCAGATGCACGTATTTCCATCATGTAGGCGTGTGTCGCCACGTCACAGAAAGCCAAGTTTGACCACTCGGAAGTTTGATTTGTATACGACTTGCTAACTAGCTAGTTACAGAATTAAGCTCACGTTCGACTCTTCGTCGTCGTCGTGGTCGTCGTAGGAGCGCTGGGCTTCCACGTCATGGTTCCGTGTCCACATCATGTAGTCATAGTCGGCATTTTCTGGCACCAACGGCAGCAGCCACGAGTGCCAGTTTGAGCCAAACACGGCCCGCCAATTCTGAGCCATCTACGACCGATAACGTCATAATGGCATCGGTTTGTGGCGTCCATGTACGTACCTCGCGGTATCGATATGGACTGCGACGGCCATACACGTTGAGCTCAAGCGTGGATTGCCCTTGGAAGATCAAGTACGAGTGGAAACCCACAAACAACGTCAGAGATAACGTCACACTGGCAGCCATGACGTAAGCCAGGATCGCGTGAAGCGGCAGCGTGTTGTCCATGTGATGCACTGCGCGGAAGAACGGCTACGACAAGACACTCTCAATCGATGCAACCAAAGTGCCAAGTTCCCTTACATCAAACAGCCGAAGGACAATCAGGCCGCACGTGATAGCACCGTAAGTGACAAACATGTAAAAGTACTTGTAGTTGCGCAGCCCCACGCAGTTTCCCACCCACGGACAGTGATGATCTACCAAGGCAACCCCATCATGAGTCACGATTCCACCGACATACGTACGACGACGAGGATATATGTACCCATTTTGACGACACACATTTTGCAGATGCTGCAATGATGGGCACGACTCGGTTTGGGTTTGTGACAGCTCCGGCAGTTGGGTAGTTGGATGCCGGCTTGTTGGGCGCGCATGCGAAGGTAGTCGGCCAATTTGTCGTTGATAAAGCCGGGGTCTGGAGTAAACGAGGGATGGAACATGATGACGAGACCGTGCTGATGTCATGTACCTGTGGCAACGACTCGGTAGTAGGAAATGGCTGTGAGAGCCGTCAGCGAGTTGAACGCAAGGAACTCCAAGACGAGCGCAATCGAGTCATCGCCAACTAGCAGCTTGGCACGGATGTGAAAGCGGATGAACACCACGTACTCCAACGCGATGAGAGCGGTCACCAACCCCACAGGTATCCAGCTCAGACCCCGAATGACTGGGCTACATGGAGCCACGTTCGGTCATAGGTTGGAGCATGCATCGTACCTCTTGTGCTGAAAAAGCATCTCAGGCAAACACTTGCGGCTGGATAGAAGGTTTCACGACTGACGAAGTGTCATCCGGATAAATGATTATTTGTAAATGAACCAAAAGTAGCAAATTTTGGTGTCATCAAATACAGTATTTTTGCAAATTCCAATGAAATAATCCAATGAGACATTTCGGCGCACCCACTGGAAATTTCACCCAAATAAATCTCTACCTGGTAGGCATTCTGACTGGACACACCTTTCCACACTCACAACGATGCCGCCCATGATCCCATCGCTTTATGATCTCCAACATGATATACCGCTCTCATACAAGAGGTATTCACCCATCCTCCATCTTGACGATACCGCGTGCAGCTCTCAATTGACATGTTCCAACACGAGTGGAGCTTCCTCTTATGAAATTTGCTGACAGTTTGCAAACACTCGCATAGAATGATTGGATCATTTCATTGGAATATTCCCATAAGCATTCGAGAATGCTCCAGGATCTAGGGTGAGTGGACTGTATATATAACGCGAGAACTTTAGCATTGTTATTTGCATTGCAATATTCTAACGTTGTTATATGTGTATGATGGCTGCATTACAAAGTCGACTACTGTATGCAGCGAGGTGAGTCAGTCTATAGCGGCGCTGCTCCCCACTTTTGAATGTTCGAGTACGTGACAAACACAAACGTGCCAATGCCGATAAACACGACCAACCAGTCGACCACCTTGGACATGAACGTCGTGTGCTTCATGATCTTCTGGTAAAAGAGCGGGGGGTAGATAAAGCTGAGCGGGACGCAGCAGACGGCGCCAACGATCGACACAAACAGGTCCAGGTGTTCTTGGCCAAAGTACGCAATGAGCACGGTCACGATCACAATCACGGCCCGCACCACGTTCTTCTGCACCTTTTGACCCGACGACCGTCGCGGCAATTGCAGCATGTCTTCGATGATCTTGACGGCAGGGAAAAGGAACAGCGGGTACGACAGCAGTTGGGCAAACGACCACCCGCACTGAACGCTCAAGGTCCATCCGTTGCGGGGCAGGCTGGCCAACACAAGGGGCTGGATAGGGTCGCCCAACGCCATGTAGTTGATCGACGCAAACACAGAGTAAAACGTCAACAGACCCAGCACTGTCCACACCAAAAGCGACGGGAATTGCTTCTGACGGTCCTTCGTGAGCGACGCTTGGGTCGGAATGACCAGCCCAATGCCTTCAAACGTAAACACGGCCGTGCCGATAAACACGGAATAGTCTTGCGGGTTAAAGTACTGGCACGGGTTGAATTCCTTCAACGGCCAACGACGTGAACGACGTGCCCAAGATGTACGCGACGCCGTACAGGATGAACACGTCGGCAATCAAGTTACTAATAGAGAAGTAACTACACACAGCGGCAACATGAGCAACGAGGGACGTTATATATTATGGTGGTGTGGACTGTACCTGATGTAGCGGATCCACGATAACGGAATGTACACGACGGTTTGAAGCACGATCAACGCCCCCACCGACACGTTGGCGCCAAAATACGCCAACACTTGGTTCATGTTTTGGGCGACGAAGATGATGTACGAGCAGCAAAACCCGAATTGCATCAGCACGATGGAAATCTGGACCATTCGGGAACCCCACTTGCCATACGCCACCTCGCCAATGTGGCTGTACGACCCGCCCACCAGTTCACGACACGCCAGCAAACGAAACATCGCATAGAGCGTCAAAAGCGCAACGATCGACAGAATAATAGGCGAGAAGACGATGCCACCGCTTTTGAATCCTTGGGGAAGGAACAAAATGCCAGTACCCACGAAGGCTTTGAGCAGGGCAAGAAACGCTTGGCCCATCGTGGTTTCTTTGGACAAGGCTTCCCTCTTCGCGGCAGTCAATGGCGTTAGCTCCGATGCGCTGATGCTCTGGACACTGCGGCGCGCCGAATATGTCGCCGGCGTGTGGAGAAAGTTCTCAATTCGCTGGGCGTTGGTCAAATTTTCATACTGGTCCGACGTCTGCGATAGCATGGACGAAATGAACGGGTTGTAGACATTGCGCACGTTCTCCTCGATGGTCGCGCGAACGGCGGGTGACATCGCCGGGGGGTTGTTGATGCGGAGATGTGCCTTGCGAAACGCAATCGGTCCTTCGGAGATATCGATCACCTTTTCTTCTTCAGATACGGCCAGAACAGGTTCCTGTCGACGGGGTCAAGTTAGACGATGATGATCTCTTCTCGCATGTGTTGAGTGGATGACCTACCCGAGTTGACGCGCTTGAGGGCATCGGTCCCTTGGGTGGTCGGCGACACAGCGTCAGGGGTGTTCATCACGACTCAAAACGAAAACTGACGGGTGAGTCCGTTGCCCGAATATTATTATTCGTTGCGCCTGGTTGAAGCACGTGCCCATACAATCTTCTAGATTATTCGTTTTGTACAACGTACTTTTTTCGGAAAATTATATTGACGTTTGATATGGTAAATTGCGCGCGCATTGATTGCTGTGTACTGTATCTGACGTCATTCCGACATGTTCCGACATGTCCCCAGGATACATCTGCATCTTCGTGCAGCCATAACTGGACATGTTGTACTTCGTACCCATCCACACATGAGTCCTGGGAGGGGAAGAAGCGTCAAGCACGTCCCTGCTGCCTCAACGAACCTCAAACAATCACGCATGGCGATACAAAGGCGCAGAATCGCGGCGATCGTGCGATGATACGCTACAGCAACCTGGTTGTGTTGTATGTTGCCGACATGACGATATGTATGGCTTGATATTGCCCTTTACCGTTCAGTCCTTTACATCTTGACGATATGGCAACCTCAGCAGTGCTGGAAGTGGCACAGCACAGTAAGTACCAACCGGTCCACTATGGTTGTCCACCTCCAGTACAGTACATGGAGCTGTACCACCACCAACCTGTGCCCATTAGATTGGTGGCACCTTGCCCAACGCAGAAAGCAGCAAGCACCTACGTCATGAAGACCCCGTGTGCCTTTCAAAAAACACACGCGGTCATCGCCACCTCGATCTATAACAGGTGGGTGATGTAGCTCTCGCTCTACCAACAACAAATAAACACGTAACATGGGGAAATTAGTGAATTGGTTGTTCCTCTTAGCATCAGCCATCCTCCAACGCTTCCTTGCACGCCGATGGGACGGACCCCCGCATCAAATGGTACAATCAATACATGTTGACGAGGTGGTCGAGTCATTTGGTAGTACACTATCTGCGTCGCAGCAGCAGCAATCGACTTGGGTGTGATAACTTAGTCGGTACCGACGGAGCGGGTGTAGATCAATTGGCAGCGATGCTTGGTCACGACCTTGATGTCACCCTTGACTTCCAATTCCCGGATGGCAGCACGGGCCAGCGTAGCGTTGACCTTAAGGCGTTCGACGACGGCCGAGGCAGTGATCAACTTCATTTTGGGCACTTCCTTCAACATGCGGTCGTACGTTTCTTGGTCAAACAAGACCTTGTTGGCGGTCTTTTCACGGACCTTGCCCTTGGACCATTTTTTCTTGCCCTTGCCGCGGCCACCAGCCATGGCGGCGGCCATCTTCTGTTCCTTGGTCTTTTGCTGGGTTTTAGGCGGCTACACATACAAGCATCAATATCACGTGCAATCCTGCTGGGGCCATGGGTCGGCGGCCCTTCCTTCGCTGTCGTGTCGTACCATGGTGCGCGACTGGTGCTGATTAGTTCCCCGAAAACTAAAACTGGACCCGAATATGCTTCACGCGGCACCGACTACCAACCAGTCAAAACCGCCACGCCCGACTTTATTTAATCATTGCATGCCAATACAAAA